AATGAAAAATGATATTTCTGAAATTTACCTAAATCTAGATTTATATAATTTGAGTGTGTTAATTAAAATTAAAATTAAGAGAAATGATTTGAATCTTGAATCCTTTTTTTCGATTTTATGTATTAAATAAATATTTTAAAAAAACACAAATTTAAAAATATCTAATTATTTAAACTATATATATTTATTTAATACACAATAAAATAAATATTAAAAAGATTATTAAATAAAAAAATATTTAAAAAAAAATAATATAATAAATATTTAAAAAAAAAAAAAAAAATAATATAAAAAATCTAAAAAAAAAAAAAAAGAAAAAAAAATAAAATAAAATAAAAAATTTTTTTTAAAATTTTTTTTTTTTTTATATTTTTAACCAATGAGTATTATGATCAATCATTTTTTTTTTAGATTTTAATACGATTGTAAGGAAAATTATAAAAAAAACAAAAAAAATTTAAATAAAACCGTGCTTGGGTGAATGATGACACTAGGAGCAGAAAAATGAACCATTTTAATTTTTTTTTTCAATGAAAAAAATAACCACCACACCAAAACTCTTCCTCCTTTGCTTTACGACTTTTTATATTTCTAAAATCATTTATAAATAAACATGAGATAGATAATAATTATAATTTATAAGTTGAAAAAATTTCGTTTTTTTTTTTTTTTATTTGTGGGTGTGTGAAACTAGTTATAATTTCCCACACAAATAAATAAAAATAAAATTAAAAAATACAAATACAGAAAAGAAATGAAAAATAATATTGTTTATTTGAATAATAGTTATTATATCATTACTATTAATTTATTTATTTAAATTCGAAATCCCAAAAACCAGGAGGGGTTGAGGGGGGTTCATCGTTGTGTCTATGTCGTGAGCATTGATTTAGCATTTGTTTTTTTTTTGATTCGTCATCACCCAACACTGCATCATAAAACTCTTTGCAATGGGCGCAATCAAAACCTTGTAATTTTTCCCTTTCTTCTTGATTTCTAATAACTTCTTTAATTTTAATTTTTTTATTTGTATTTCTTTGTTTAGAGAGGTTATTTATAATGGTTGACTGAGACGAGGGTTTGTTAATGTTGTTATTCTCTTCATTATCTAAATCTATTATTATGTTATTGTTTTGGCTGTTGTTGGGTTTAAAAATATCAAAGTCGTCGTTATCGTTATCATTCTCGTTATTGTTTTCGTTATTATTGTTGTCATATTGCAGAGGTTGCTCGTTTGGGAGGTCAAGTTCGTCCAATTCTTTTTCTTCTTCGACAGTATCTTTCTTTTTTCTTTTTTTAGATGTGTTATTGGTAGGTGTACTAGTTGATGTATTTGTGGTATTCTTTGTGTCTTTAGGGGATTTTTCAGTTTTATTATTATTATTATTTTTTTTAATTGCTGAAATGGGCGAAGTGGATGCAGATTTGGAGGCAGGAGTGCTGGGTGATAAAAAATCATCAAATATTCGGTCGCTATTGTATCTATGTGAGTCTTTATTAAACACACCTGGTGATGTATTTAAATTCATCCCATTTCCCCTGATGGGTGTTAAATTATCGCTATTACTACCAAAACTAGAATTTATAATTGAATCCATTGAAATATTGCCTAGTTGATGTTGTTGCATTAATATTAGTTTTAATTCTTTATTTTTAACTTTGAGTTTCTCTATAATTTCTAATAACTGTTTTTTTTCATCGTTCCATTTGGTTTTTTGAGTTTGAAACTCTTCTTCTATCGCTAAAAAATCATTTGAATGTATTTGTATTAAATCTTTAATTGCATTTTGAAATTTTTCGCTACATATTAATTGTTGTTTAGATTCACTCGGTATATTATTATTGTTTTTATTATTATTGTTATTATTATTACTGTTATTACTATTATTATTGTACATTATTTTTTAATATTAGTTTTAGATTGTAAAAATGTAAAATGATTATTTTATTGAATAAATGTGTTTAAAGTTTATATATATATATATAAGGTAAAATGTCACTATTACATATAGATGGTTTAATTTATAAAAAACAAAAACAAAAAAAAAAAAAGTAAAAGACAAATTAGATTCAAGATAGGAGGGGTTTTGATGATTTAAAATATTATTATAATTATTATTATTATTATTATTATACACAAATAAAAATTGTTATTATTTATATCGTTTAAAAAAAACAAACACACCAAACAAATAACTTAAACTCTAGTATATATATATATTTTAAGATATCTATTTTTTTAGATTTGTGTTTTCTTTTTTTTTTCAAATTAAAATTTTAAAATAATTATTTTAAAAAAAAATATTATTTTTTTTTATTTTTTTTTTAATTTTAATTTTATTTTTTTAATCTTTTTTTTATTTTTTTTAAAAAATTTAAAATAACAAGAATTTATTTAAATTAATGTTAACTAAGTTTGGTGTTTAATAGTAATAATAATAATAATATATTAATAAAAATTTATTAATTTAAATTAAATCATTTTTAAAAACTTAATTTTATTTTTTAATATAAAAAAAAAAAAAAAAAAAGTTTTTTGGTGGCATATTAAAACTATTCCACCCTCATAATAATAATAAAATAATAAATATATATTAGTAATATTGGTTTAAAGAAACAATAAAATAGTAATAGTACATATAGATAGCAAAAATAAATATGGATTTTTTAAAAAATAAATATAACGAATTAACTAATAATAGCACAAGTAGTAATGTTACTGCTGACAAATATAAAGATATAAAAGAACCATTTCTTTTACATAAATTAGCATGTGAAGGAAAGTATGATGAGATCAAACAATCTATAGAAACAATACCATATTATAAAGAGTTTATAGATATAAGAGATACCCATGGTTATCCTGCATCACATTATGCAGCACATGTAAGCGTTTTTTTTTCTATTTATATTTTTTTCAAATCTAAAATAAATTATTAATACTTTTGACTTTTGTTATTTATAGTTGGGATATGGTAATATAGTAGAACTATTATTAAAAAGTGGTGCAGATCCAGATAGAAAAAGTGCTGCAGGTTGGTCATTACTTCAAGAAGCTATTGGTAGAAAAGATAGAGAAATTGTCACAATGGTATTATTAGAGTTAAAATTAAAGATAGAAAGAGAGTTTAATAAAAGAGTACCAACATTGGTTCAAGCTTTAGAAAATGTAATTATTATTATTATTACCATTAAATCAAACTGTTCACCTATTAATTTATTTTTTTATTACTTTATTAGATTCCAGATTTTGAAATGGAGTTAAAATGGGAAGTTAAAAGTTGGGTACCATTAGTTACAAGATTTTGCCCATATGATACATATAAGTTTGTATTTAATATAGGATATTATTAAAATTGTAAATAAAATACTAACTCTAATTTAAAATAGAATTTATAAGCAAGGTGCATCATTAAGAGCAGATACAACAATTATTGGAATGGATGGTATTAAATTTATTAGAGGAGATTTAACATTTTTATATAAAAATTGTAAGTTGGCAATAAATAAATAAATAGTGAAACAACTTTATATTAATAATACTTTTTTATACAGTAAGATTATTTTCATTAGATAATATTAAAAAACAATATTCAGAAATGGAATTGGTTGCATCAAAAAACCCAGTAGTTCACGAAGAGGAGGTTGATATTTGTTTAGATCAACACATTAGAAGGGTAAAGTTAATGACAGATGCAATTCAATTTCAACCAGCTAAAACATGGTTAGGATACGAAAAAACTGAAGCAATCGGTGATAAAGGCGATTGGAGTGCAAAGATTTTTGATGTTTCAAATGTAGATTTAAAGACATGCACAAGAAAATCAAAGAGGCAACCAAACCATCCATCATTAAATGATATGCAAAATACCACAACAGGCAGCAAAAAAGATAAAAAGAAACAAATCAAGGGTGATGAAATTGATGAGGATGAAGAGGAGGATCAAGTCATAACCACCAACAAAGATCATTTGGATGAAAGTGGTAAAGATCACAATGTAAATTCACCAGTCGCACAAACAAAGAAATATCTCGATTCATTAAAACATAGAACCTACACAATTAGAGAAAGCACAGTTAAATCAAAGATATTCTCTGATCCACACTATTTCGATGCACCAAAAGATTTTGACCCATATACATTCGAACAAAATTTTGACAAAACCAAAGTTAAATCTCAAGGTCTCCTTTGTGAAGGTGAAACTATCAGCGAAAGACATCGTTACTTTAAAGGTACAATTTGGATCTCTGAGGATTTCCCAAGAAAGGTTGCAGATCTCTTGCCAATTTTTGAAGTTTTAGCTCCAACCAATAAATTATTTAGTAGATTAAGCGAATTTATTCAACTTAAATTACCATCTCAAGGTTTTCCAGTTAAATTAGATATACCATTAGTTCCAACTATCTCTGCAACTGTAATTTTTACAAAATATCAAGAAAAAGAAGTTGATAAAAATCTTTTTTGTGTACCAACTGATTATGTCGAGCATAAAAAACAACCAAAAAATTAAAATAATCAATATTATATATATACAAACAGATAATATTTTTATAATTTTATTTAATAAAGCTTTAAATACATAAATATATCTATTTAAAACAAAAAGTATTTATTTAAAAAAATTTTTTACATTTTATTTTATTAAATTTACTCTATTAATAGAGTTCTTACTCTTTTAAAACCTTTTTTTTTAAATTAATTTTTTTTTTT